AACTTACCCGGATGGTCCCAAAGGAGTTTATTTTTGCAACTCTTCCGTATGTAATTTAACGATCTACAATTTTTTCAAAGAACAAAGGCCCTCTTTTATAAAATATATTGAGTTAATATTCACAGACTAAAATTTCAATTTCCAATTGGAAATCAGGTTATAAGGGGGAACACAAGATTAAATGATGAGGTTTAACTAGTGAAAATTGACCTAATGAAGACATGTTTTAGTCGTCACTGATTTCCTCCTAGTTTATTTCCCTTTAATTATATCAGTTTCTTTCATCTTCTCTTTAACGCTGTAATGACAGTCTATCTTTCTGATGGTTACACTGGAAATAGACAATTAGGTCAAACTGTAATGGATTATGTGGAGTTCGTTGATCTTCTTATTTTCTTATTACAGCAAATTGACATCGATAGATTTGGTCTACTGACAGCGCTTTTGTTCATATTTCCCATAGTCAGCTGGAAATAGGACCGAATAGCCCTATAAACTGCTCGGATTCAGTAATCCACTATTTCAACAAAGCAACATTCCTATTTGCCTATTGCATGGTTCTCTGCAGATCATGATTAAGCATATTGAAGCTTTACATGTTTTCTAAGGCAAAATACCTCAATGTGGATATAACAAACCACTGGATATGTCAAACCATGTTGAATCTTGCCGCGGATGTGGCAGTGCCACTTGGTGCCGTCGATGCACGTAGCTCGCAGCGCTTCTCGTCGTCGGTCTCGTTCTTCCCTCCCTTCCCCATGCTCCTCGGCATCCTTCTCGGGCGTCGATCGAAACCCTAACCCCAAGGTCTCCATCCTTTTACCTTCGCGTTCGCCTGAGACGGTGGTTTTTGTTTGGATCTCCAAGAAACGGGATCGCGCGAGAGACGCCGGGACGAAGAATTAGTTCGGAGGATATAGACGCCCCTTGATCTCTCAATCGCACCCATCTTAAAGCAATGCCAATCCTTGTATATATTTATGTACCTACTTTTGGTGCACCACGGCCTCACCTACTTAGCGATTGGTGACAGAATGGTACAATGTGGGTCCCCTTTGGGCCCAACTGGAAGAATCAAGTCTCCATAGCGTGATTGGGTTTCCGTACGAGTAATTCGAGCATCGCGTCCCTTGATGTCGATTGCACTAATCTTAAGGCAATTTCAACAGGTGATATAATTTTCTTTTGGATGGCATCAAGAAATATATTTATATATAATTTTTTCAAGTATAACTCTTTAAATTTTTTATCAAATCTATCAAAGCTTCCCCAAAACTACTATAGGGTAAGATAATAATATATTTAATATCATTTTTTATTTGTATATAAATTTATGATAATTAATTTTTAAAATATGTTATTTTTAGGGTGAACCTACTCTTTGAATTTTTAGTAAACCTATCCAAACTTTTTAAAAACTATATACATTTAATATTTATTTTTTTATTTTTTATGAATTAGGATGATTAATTTTTAAAATAAAATATTTTTGTATTGAATCTACGATCAAGTATAATTTGATCATGATGATTTTTTGAATAATTTAGGATAATTTTATATATAAATTAATACTTTTTTATGATAACTTGAATTTTGTAGTTTTATTATAAATTTAGGATACTTTTATATATTAATATATTTATAAATTAATATATTTTAAATGTATTTTTTTGAATGAGAGTAAGTATGATGAGTGATCTAAGTAGACTTTGATGAAGAGAAGATGGAGGAAAAGAAGGAGAAGGGGAGGAAGAGAAGAGTGGATGAGGAGGAAAGAGAAAGACCAAATATTGGGCATCATCTCTCATTATTCGAGATTTTTTTAGTAAATTATCCAAAATTATTTATGTTATTTCCATAATTTATATTTCGAAAATCTAAAGTCACTAGATTTACCCATCTCTTTAGAGAAGAAGACTAAGCATCAGCAAGAATCTGGGAAACGGAAGACAGATTGGTTGGGCAATGGCTGCAAACATGTA